TTTTTCTTTTTGCTTATGTGGTGCTGAGGAATGGAACCCAGGGCCTCATGCATGCAAGGCAAGCGCTCTACCACTGAGCCACCTTCCCAGCCCTAAACCCTTATTTTCAAGTATCACTTCTACATCTACCTGCCAAGTAATAAGGACCTTTTGATAAAAATGCATTTGGTTGGTCTCTGGTTTCTGATATTCTGATAGGCTACAGAAGCCATTGTCCATGTTATTTAAATAGGGCTGTTCAGGGTCCCTGTTGGCCCATCTGTTGAGCTCTGGCTCTGTGGAATGACAGTGGTGGTCTCTGCCCTTTAAGTTCCTCTCTCTCCCCCACAGAGAGCTCTTCACCCAGGTCTTAGTGATGGCTTCACCTTCTGTCTTGCAGATCAGCCGAGCGATGGAGGGACTCCTGCATTACATCAACCCAGCGCATGCCATCTCTCTGCTCAGTGCCCTCAACGAGGAGCGCCTCAAGGGGCAGCTATGTGACGTGCTCCTGATTGTTGGTGACCAGAAGTTTCGAGCTCATAAGAATGTCTTGGCCGCCAGCAGCGAGTACTTCCAGAGCTTATTCACAAATAAGGAAAATGAGTCACAAACTGTCTTTCAGCTTGACTTCTGTGAGCCAGATGCTTTTGATAATGTTTTGAACTACATTTATTCTTCTTCCCTATTTGTGGAGAAGGGCAGCCTGGCCGCAGTGCAGGAGCTGGGCTATAGCCTTGGTATCTCCTTCCTGACCAACATTGTCTCCAAAGCCCCCCAGGCCCCCTTCCCAGTGTGTCCTAACAGAAAAAGAGTGTTGGTAAGTGAGGACGAGGAGACCAGCTCCCAGAAGAGGAGCGTCATTGTGTGTCAGGGTAGAAGCGAAGCCCAAGGGAAAGCCAGCAGTCAGAATCTGCCCGACCTGAGCCATGCCTCGCGGCCCGCGCCCTCCACTGCAATCAAGACCAGTGGCAGCAGGCCACACATCGCTAAGGCAGTGGAGCCCCTTCATAGCCTGGCCCTCGCTGACAAGACCTGGCCCAAAGAGCCTGCTGCCGGGTATACAAAGTCGCTTGAGCATTCTGGATCTTTGGATGATCCCAGTAGAAGCAGTTTGGTGAAGAGAAATGCAGTATTACCCTCCAAGCCTCCTCCAGACAGAGATGCCGGGGACGAAAAGCCAGGTGTGAGCAGTCAGCTTCCGAAGGGAAGAGCTATAGAGATGGCTCTGAAAAGGCCACGGCCACCAGTTCTGTCTCTCCGCAGCTCCTCAGAGACTCCCTATCTGTTGAAAGAATCTAACAAAGGCGGTGGTCAAGGGGAGGACCGAAACCTGTTGTACTACTCCAAGCTGGGCCTCGTTATCCCGTCCAGTGGGTCTGCTTCTGCAAACCAAAGCATTGACAGGAGCGGCCCGCTGGTGAAGAGCCTCCTCAGACGGTCGCTGTCCATGGATAGCCAGGTTCCTGTCTACTCTCCCGCCATAGACCTGAAATCGCCCCAGGGATCACCCCCCGTGTCAAACAACGCACCAGGGAATGTGTTCTGTGCTTTAGCTCAAAAGTCAGCTTTAAAAGACTGTACTGAAAAACCAGCGCTAGATGACAGGCCTCAAGTGCTGCAACCACATCGCCTCAGGTCCTTCAGTGCTTCTCAGTCCACGGACAGGGAGGGCACCTCCCCCGTGACCGTGACCCTGACTGAGGTGCGCATCAAGACGGAGCCCAGCAGCCCGCTGTCGGACCCGGCCGACATCATCAGGGTCACTGTGGGGGATGGGGCGGCAGCCGGCAGAGACCCCCCTGTGAAGACAGAGGAGGACCCCAAGGACATGAGCAGACTGCCCGCAAAGAGGAGGTTCCAGGCAGACAGGAGGTCGCCCAAGAAGGCCAGGGCGGAGGAGCCCGGGCCTGCCGTCTCAGGGGACAGCTGTGAGGAGAGCGCCAGCCCTCCTGCCCTTGATGGCAATTTCCCAGATTCTGACTTAAACAAGGAGGAGTTTGGTGAGTTGGAGGGGACGAGACCAAATAAAAAGTTTAAATGCAAACATTGCCTTAAGATCTTTAGATCAGCTGCGGGTCTTCACCGCCACGCTAACATGTACCATAATCCCGAGAAGCCCTACGCCTGTGACATCTGTCACAAGCGCTTTCACACCAACTTCAAAGTGTGGACACACTGTCAGACCCAGCACGGCGTAGTGAAGAACCCGTCGCCAGCCTCTAGCTCCCATGCAGTGTTGGATGAGAAATTCCAAAGAAAGCTGATTGACATAGTGAGAGAGAGGGAGATTAAGAAGGCCCTGATCATTAAGCTGAGGCGCAGCAAGCCTGGCTTCCAGGGCCCAGGTAGCTGCCCAGCACAGCAAGTCATCAAGAGGAACTTGCGCTCCCGAGCCAAAGGGGCGTACGTTTGTTCTTACTGTGGAAAGGCCTACCGCTTTCTCTCTCAGTTTAAGCAGCACATAAAAATGCACCCGGGAGAAAGACCCCTCGGAGTAAATAAAGTTGCTAAGCCAAAAGAGCGTGTTCCTCTGACAGGTGCGGTAGAGAGCAAGGAGGTTTACCCGTGCCGCCTCTGTAATGCTAAGCTCTCTTCTCTTCTAGAGCAAGGCAGCCACGAGCGCTTGTGCCGGAACACCACCGTTTGCCCTTACTGCAGCCTCAGGTTCTTCTCGCCCGCGCTGAAGCAGGAGCACGAGGACAGGTGTGAGTACAAGAAGCTGACCTGCCTGGAGTGCATGCGGACCTTCAAGTCGTCCTTCAGCATCTGGCGGCACCAGGTGGAAGTGCACAACCAGAACAGCATGGCCCCCGCCGAGAACGTCTCCCTGCCCACTCTGGACCACAATGGCGAAGTGCCCGCCGGGCCCCGGCCCCCGCCCCCGCCCGAGCCTAACAAGGTAAACCACGTTGCCACACCAAAAGAGGACACTGCGTTCAGTGACTCTTCAGAGCAAGTGAACTTCGATTCCGAGGATTCCACTTGTCTCCCTGAAGACCTGAGTCTGTCGAAGCAGCTGAAAATCCACGTCAAAGAGGAGCCGGTGGAGGAGGCAGAAGAGGACGCTCCCGAGGCCAGCTCGGCGCCCAAGGAGGCGGGCCCCAGCAAGGAGGCGGGCCTGTGGCCCTGCGAGAAGTGTGGGAAGATGTTCTCGGCCCACCGGCAGCTGGAGCGGCACCAGGAGCTGCTGTGCTCAGTGAAGCCCTTCATCTGCCACGTGTGCCACAAGGCTTTCCGGACCAACTTCCGCCTCTGGAGTCACTTCCAGTCCCACGCGTCCCAGGCCACAGAGGAGCCCGTGCGGAAGGAGGCCGAAGCGCGCCCCGGGCCCACAGACTCCCCCTCGCCACCACCCCTGCCTCCCCCACCTCCTTTGCCCAAGATCCAGCCCCTGGAGCCCGATAGCCCCACAGGCCTGCCAGAGAACCCCATCCCGACCACGGAGAAGCTGTTTACCCCACAGGAGTCGGACACACTCTTTTACCACGCCCCGCCCCTCTCGGCAATCACATTTAAAAGGCAGTTCATGTGCAAGCTCTGCCACAGGACGTTCAAGACCGCCTTCAGCCTTTGGAGTCACGAGCAGACCCACAACTGACGGGCTCACACTCCTCGCCGGGGGAGGCCCCAGCTTATGGACTGTGTCCCAAGACGCTAAGGAATTTTTTATAAGAGAGTAATAAAGGTTGGGAAATTGTTATGCTTGAATTTAGGTTCGAGATAAACTGATAGTGGTTAGAAATGTCCCCACTAGGCTTTAGGAATAAACGTGGGAATATTGCAGTTTGACCCTCACAGCGACAGGGGCTTGATTTCGTGACTGTTGAACTTGGACTGAGCATCACGGGTTCCAGGGTGGCAGTGTGATCCTTTCATTGGGGCTTTTGCTGTGGAACTATTCCTTCTTTGGATTATTCCACACACCTAAGTTCCAGCAAATCTTCGCCATGTTCTTAAGGCCAAAAACGCACCAGGACAAAATAGAGTCGTTTGCAGTATTGACTTACATCCTAGACTACCTTAGCAATAAAAAGATAAACCTCAACTCTTAACAAGTTATCCTGACACTTGATAAAGACAAATACTTGGTATTTTGTGGTCACGTAGAACTTTTGTTTTTGTATGAAAATGGTGAGATTTAAATGAGCAATAGTCACACTTAGATTTTTATAAAATAACTTGCTCTCAGTCAGTATAACGAATGATGGGCCCAGCATAAGACCACAGCTTAGGTGATTTGCGCGCATCCTCTCAGTCAGTTTACAGGAGGGTCAGTAATGACTGGCGCGGCTACCACCACACAGTGGTAGGTGAGTGCATCCAGAGCTGAAGGCCTGCAGCTGTTTGATCTCGGTTTTATGCTGTCACAACTTGAAAACCTGAGGGTGATTGGGACAGAACACCGTGCTAGCAGAGGGCACTCCTTTGAACTTGAGATTAGTGTGACAGGCGAGGTTGAGGTAGAGCACACACACGGAGGCAGGGTACCTAGTCAGGTTCTAGACCACCACTTCCTACCAGAGACCAGGGAGCAGAGCAGAGTGGGAAGAAGGTCTCTAGCAGCTTCGGCCTACGTTCCCGGGATGGCTCATACCATAGACCTGCAGATACCCATATTGGTATATACGATTTCACTGCCCCTCTGTCCTTTTGAAGACTTCTGTTAGGGTGCATTAAAGTCTGTCAATGGAGTGAGACTGCTGAACCACTGCTTGCTGCTCGGAAATACGTGGTAAAGTACTATGAAGGGTCCCAAACTAGTTTTTGCTAGTTATTTGGGAATATAGTATTTGGTATATAGTATTTTCTTCCTTTTCTAGAAATTGTAATGAAAATCCTTTCAATAGGTGTTACCTAGAATTCCCTGGAGTGTTTTCAAAAGGTAAAACTTTATTTTACTTGTGAGGAGAAAGTTGACATAAAAAGTTACTGAAACTACAAAGCCTTTTAAGATGGTGAGAGATTTCAGTCTGAGTTTTTGCATTTTTCTTTCGCAAGCTGTTATTTCATGTTTTAAAAGTCAGCTACTGTGCTCTATATAGTTTTTTTTTTTTTTTTTTGTCGGTCGTGGGGCTTGAACTCTGGGCCTGGGCATTGTCCCTCAGCTCTTCAACTCAAGGCAAGCGCTCTACCACTTGAGCTACGGCGCCACTAGAAGTCAGCTACTGTGACTGAGGATTTTTAAGTTTGCACTCAGCAGAAAAGCCCATTGTTTTCTATACCAACACCTCACACCAGTGGAGGAAAGGCTTTGTTTATATTGAGACACAAGCATCTTAGTAAAAACACTGACTGGCCTTATATGGTGTAGAAATTTATGAAATATATGAAATTTTGCTCACTTGAAAAACTAAGAATTGTCCCTCCCAATACTTGAGTGGTTTTTATTTCTGTCTGTGAATGTGACAGAAACAGGAAGATGAAATTAAGTTGCAGCTACTGATCTGCCTCTTCATATTTTCTTAGAGTCTGCATTTTAGAGATGAAACAGAAGTATATGCCTTTAGATGAAAGGGCCATCAGACCGGACCCCTGTCTACTGCCCACTCCCATTCCACAGCTCACCCAATAGCTCACCAAACACCTGTGCTCGTCACGTGTAGAAAGCCAGTGCCCCTCGTAGTGCCACCTGCATGGCTATGGAGTAGCTGACAAATTCACATACATAACATCTCGGAACTCGAACCTTTATGCTACAGTTTTGAAGATTTTTGAAATCATATTGCTAATCAGTAAAAAAAAAACTATTTTTGATTTAGAAAGCGCTGCATATCTGTTAGAGTTTAAAATTTACCAGTGTTTTGTCTTGTTCACTGTTTTTGTCTAGGCAAGAAATAAGATTTCAAATAAAACTTTGAACCAAAAACATTTATAATGCAGTTCTGGTTTTTCTATTGCTTTTTATACTGTACCTTATAAGCATTAGGTTGAGAGAGTTTATTTTGGTGGTCAAAAAAATATGCTTCCACTCATGTAACTATTTTAAATGTTAAGAAGTAAAATAATGAAAGACATTTATTGCTTTATTTAGTAAACAGTTTTTTAAAAGAGCGTTTATCTCAGCCAGTGGGCGACTATTTAGTGTAAAATAAGTTGGTCTTACATTGTTGCCAATCTTTAGATAGTAAAAATATTCTTGTAAATGTTTTTCTGAGTGTAATTAATTTTTGCAAATGTAGAAAACTCATTCCTTGTAAGTATTCAGGATGCCTGCTTTTTTATGCAATTGTGGAAAGAATGTAAAATGTTTAATATATTCTTTGTTAATCTGAGAACTAGTTATTAAATCGTTTTTTTGGGGGGGAGGAGGGGAAAGGGAGTAACATAAAACTTTTTTTTACCAGTAAGCAATGGAGGTAACAAATACTGTGTTTTAATAGTAGTATCTCAAGATTGATAGAATATTTAGCTTTAACACTTGGTATGCATTTGTAAAACTCATTGACAGTGTGTTATTTGCGTTTGAGGGGAGATTTTTTTTTCTTGGTCTCTGTTTGGAGAAGTGTCATTTATAGCCTTCTCTTTGTAAAAATCTGCCCAGCCCGTACCTGGTGGTCTGAATCCTCCAGCAGCCCCTGTGGGCGCTACTGAGAACAGCCCCTGTGAGGTAAGAAGGGGCCGGGCTTCCCAGTGGCCTGCACAGTCAGGGAAAGGAGGTATCAAGTCCACGGGCCTGAAACTGGTCTTTGTTCTCTCCAGTTGGGGTGCTATGCAAATGCACACGTGTACAACTATAATCTGGAGCCTTGAGAAGTGAAATACTTACATTTTCTTGTACACAACTAATTGTCATTCCTAACAGATTTCTTCGTAAATTTCATCTAGTTAACTTAGAATATTACGTCCATTTGCCAATTTCTGATGGCTCATTGAGGTTTTTTGCAATAATTGTGCAATGCATTATTGATTTTTAAATAATGCTATTCCACATTTTTCATACATGTTCTTTAACACTGACTACTTAAACCTTTTTAAGTTTTATGAATAGATTTCCAAGTGTAAACCACTTGGAAATCCCAGCTACTTGGGAGACTGGTAGCTTGAGTCCAGGAACTAGCCTGCAACACAATGAGACCCTGTCTCAAAAAGAAAAAAAGAGAAAGAAAAAGGATTTTCTTCTTGTGGCTTTAGCACTTTAAAAGGTTCAAAGTTTGCATAATTTTTTAATGTGTTCCTCTAGAGTGAATCTGTGAGTTTCCCAGCTGGGGGAAATCCTGCTGTAGTTTTCTCTATGAGGAAATAAAGTCAGTTAGGCTCTGGAGAATAGTTAGTGTGAGGTGTTTTAAGTTTTCCTTTAGAGGCAGAGGATTTTACTGTAAATCTTTGAAATAATTACGTTCAGTGCTCTTTAGTTATTTGTTAATGCTCTCTGGATTTCCTCAGTATTTTTTGATTGATACTAATTCTCAAAAGGTGATAATTTGTTACTGGCATCAATCCAAAGCTATCTCTTGTTTTTTACTGACTGCTTATTGTTTAAACCAGTGAGTGGCAGTGATTGTGTACAAGTTTTGTTGTCAGTTGCCTTTACCAAGTAAACCATTTTTTTAGGAATAAGGTTTTTTTGCTCAGAAAATTCATAGTAAAATAGAATACCTAATGTTAATCCATTGCTTACTTGTATTCAGTTCTATTGTCTGTTTACTTTGCTTACATCTTGACTAAGAATGATTGGAGACAATAAATTTGTACTGTATTTTGCTTTGTGTCATGGTGGTCTTGTGTTTTACATGTTGATTGCAGAGTGGAGAGAAAGCCATTCTGGGGAGAGGGATGGGAGTGGCCACTGAAGAATTGTGGGAGATTTGTTAGTTTTCCAGGTTCCAAGTTACTTGCATTGTTTGGGCATTAAAAAAATGATCCTGAAAACCAGAGAAGCAGTCATCTTTGTCCACATATATCAGACCTGTTCATATTAGTTTTCAAAACCACCTTTTTCTTTCAAAAGTGGTTATGTGTTGGAGAGGAACTTTAAATACATTTAAAGAAGCCTAAAGCATTGATAGGTCATTTAAAGGCTTCTGCATGCTAATGAGACTCTTCATATCTTCATAAAGGTTGTATTTCCTTTTTTTTTTTTAATTGGATTAGCTTTCCGCTGTCACTGGGAGCTGAGCTAGGTATTTCGGCAAGCTGTCAGAAAGCCAGGCACTCTGAGGCAGAGGAGGGGAGTCCTCACCCCAGCGTTGATCAGTCAGTGCCTCTTGTTCTCTGGTCCAGCCTTTTTGCTGGTTAATTAGAGATGGGAGTCTTGGGGACTTTTCTGCCCAGTCTGGCTTTGAACTTCAATCCTCAGATCTCAGCCTCTTGAGTAGTAGCTAGAGTTATAGGCATGAACAACGCACCTGATGATAGGAATTTTTTAAGTCTTCCTCCTACTTTCACCCTACTGTTCAGTGCCAGCAAAGACTTTATTTTAAAACTTTTCCTTCCTCGTAGTAAAAAAATAGTTTTCTGAGGTTTGGTTGTTGCCTTGTTCAGTTGCTCAGGGCTCACAGTGTACATCCTGGCCTTCTAACCTACCCTCAGGTGATACTCTGCTTCAGCTTCCCTCCCTCCCTCCAGCTCTGCTCTGGTTCTGTTCTGTGAGTCAAATGCATTGGGATTATTTGTGCTTTGGTCAGTTATCTTTGAAGAGAATAAGAAAGCAATTCTTCAGATTTCCAAGTCTCCTTAGGGCATGGGCATGAACTCTTCCTGGAGTGGAGGTCCACTGGTACAGAAGTGTGTGTGTGTGTGTGTGTGTGTGTGTGTGTGTGTGTGTGTGTGTGTGTGTAGGAAAATACCAACTTTGAAAAATATTTTTTTCTGGATATATAGCATTCTAGAATGACAGGTTGTTCCCCCTCCCCCCAATAATTCAAAGATAATTGGATCTCTACTTCTAGCTTAAACAATTTCTAGGAAGAAACCAGCTCCCTGGACTATGGATAGTGTGTCTTTTTTCCTCCAGCTGCTTTTAAACTTTGTTACTGGATTTTTGCAATCTGACTTGACCTTTTGTGATGTTTTCATGCTGTGTGTGTGCCTGTGTGTCTATGAATACATTTGGGTTCCTTGAATTCCCTGGATTATTTTTTAATAAGTTTTTTATTGTGAAAATACTGTACAGATGGGTTACAGTTACATGGGCAAGGTAATGAGTACATTTCTTATCCAGCATTGGTGCCTCCTCCTTTGTTTTTCCTCTACCTCCCACCTCCAAAATTACACCCTCCCACTCCCCACCCCCATCCCCGGATTATTTTTTAAGGTTATAGGAGTTTTTAAAGTTGAACCGTTTCAGCCATTATTCCTTCAAATACATTTTTCTGTTCTTTCTACTTCAAAGATTAAATTATGCTCTGCATATATTAGGCCATATACTTAATAGTGATCTGGTCCCACAGATTTCTCTCCTTTTTTTCTCATTGTGTTTTGTTTAGGATAGTTTGTACAGCTTGTATAGATAACTTCCTGTCCACTAACCTTCCCCTTCCCCAGCAACTTTTTTTTTTTGGTTGTGGGGCCTGAACTCTGGGCCTGGGCACTGTCCCTCAGCTCTTCAGCTCAAAACTAGCACTCTACCACTTGAGCCACAGCACCACTTCCAGCCTTTTCTGCTTATGTGGTGCTGAGGAATTGAACCCAGGGCCACATGCATGCAAGGCAAGCGCTCTACCACTGAGTCACTTTCCCAGCAACTTTTAATCTTTCATACATGCACCTACTGTGCTCTTTATCTCAGACATAGTTTGTTGTGTTTTTTTCCTTCATGTCTGGAAGTTTGATTTGGATCTTCCATGCCTTGTTCAGCAGGTCCTGTATTTCCTTTAGCCCTGTCCTCCGAGTCCAGCTGTGATAACCTCCAACGCCCTTTTCCATCCCCTCAATCCCCTGTTCTGTGTCCTCATTCTCTTCCCACGGGTTTCCTTCTCTCGTTCCACATACCATTTGATTGCCCTCTGGGCGTGTCTGGTGATTTTCACTTGGATGGTGGGCATTGTGACTTTTACTGGTTGAATACTTATTTTTTTCCATTCTTTT